CCCCAAAACCCCAAAACCCCAAAACCCCATGTTATCAAATAGTTTAAACTTAGCAAAGTATGATGAATATAGATATATATTAAATTCAAATTCAAAATGAATGCCTTCAAATCATTCTCTTAAGCTATTTTCGCTATGATTCCAAACATTTTTAGTAACCCACTTAGAAATTAAAATGCTGAGGATAATTGCAGCTACAGTAGTGCTGAAGAAATAGAATGCAGCTCAGAGTGCAGTCTATGCTACTCTGATAATTTGACAGTTAGTAAGTCTAGCAGAGATATAAACTCAAAGCACAGTAGTAAAAGCTAAAAGAGCTGTAGATGCTCCAATGGCACTAAAAAGTTAAGGCTTAATCAAGATATTGAGCATGACATAGAAAAAGGAGGGAGTACAGAGTATATCACTCTTAGATAATAAAGTAGTAATAGAATTGAAAAGCTATTAAATAATGACTCCTAGAAAAATAAGGAAAATAATATTCCGCAAGATCACCATTTGAGATTTCAGCAAAATCCTTTTTAGAATTCATAGTATACTTTTGGCCAAGATATATTCAAGAATCGAAGTAAGTTTTCCCATCTATAATTTAATCAATAATATAGCTATGACTAATCCATTAATATCAAGCAAGAAAAGAAAGCTGAGAGAAATATCATATAATTCTGAGTAGCAAATTATCAATAACAACTCTTTAGATCAGATAAATAAACGCAATTCATTTGTGACTGAGAAAGTTTAAATAATTCAATCATAAGAGAGCTAAGGATACCAATAGCTATCACAGAAAGATTTCCAAAATTCACAGGACAAGTAATAAGCTGTCAGAAAATCCCTAGAAGTTAATAAGGAAAAATCAGAACTCCATCAAGAAAATGATAGACAATCTATTTTACCAAAGCGACAAAGTGAGGAGAAGAAAATAACTTTCGAGTTATTTAACCAGTAAAAATCTAGTATTAAACTATTCACACTTGAGGATCTTAAATAAAATTCAATTTGTCTTGATCAAACTATGAAATAACTAGAAAAGTTTGCAAACATATCTATCCTTGATTAAGATCCAATTCCTGCTCAATCCCAGTAATAATAGTTTCAATAGTAGCCATCATAAAAGAGAAAAGCTCAAGTTATATACAATGAGGAAATTGAAAATGATTATAATGAAATAGTGGTGGATGAAATATTTTCTAAAGATAAATTAATGACTGAAGTTGTAATAAATAATCACGAATGCAACTATCAGATATACAGAGGATCAATGGAATGCTTGAAGCCAGGCAAATGGTTTAATGATGAAATCCTAAATGCTTACACAGAGCTAGTGAACTATAGAGACAATGAGAAGAATCTCAACAATGTCTATGTGTTCAGCACCTTTTTCTACACTATGATAGATGAAATGGTCAAGAGAAATGACTATAATTACAATAAATTAATGAGGAAGATTAGTAAAAAGGGAATTAAATTAGAAAAATTCAAACTTTTACTTGTTCCCATTAATTTAACTAAATACCACTGGTTCCTAATCGCTTTGGACTTAAAAGCTAATATAAACTATGTCATTGACTCCATGAGGACATCTAATCTGGAACGATACTAAAATATTTGCAGAAACCTATAGAGGGTATTTAATGAATATATAAAGTCTACTGGAGAAAATGAGAACCCAAAAGAATTTCAAATAGAAATCTGTGAAGGTATTCCATCTCAAGATAATGGTCATGATTGTGGAATGTGCACTTGCTTGAATATGGAATTGCTAGGCATTAATGCAGATGTAAATGATCTATCTTACCAAAATAGTGAAGAATTCTCAGCAAATCAGAGGAGAAAGATAGCTGTAGAATTAGTGAAAGGAGAACTGACTGAACAAAAATACTGAATTAATATAAATAAATTGACACTATCGCTTGATAACAGTATATATATAAATAATTTATCATTTTAATAAGTAATTGAATATTAATATTTCTAAATTGCCTTTATAATTATTAATTCAGTTCATCATTTCGCATCATTCAGTCTTATATCAAGCTAACTTACCTACATATTAGCTTTCAATTGATATATCTTGAATTATGATTACTTCAGTCTAGATTCTGTTCATTCTAAGGCTATGCTTCTCCATCATCATGAAATCCTTGAGCGGTTTAATGCTTATCAGCTGACAGATTATCGCTCGACACAAGTTAAGTGCTCTTTCTTTAACCTCTCTTCTTGCCTATCATAAATATTATAATTAATACAACTACACTTACTCTTTGATTTTTTCATTTTACCGAATGCATTTTAGTTTGAAGTGAGGTTCGACTAAGCCTGGTAAATCATGTTTTGCGTGTTCTGATTGTACAACTATGATATTTACTTTATTTTATGCTCATTCATGGATGTACTTACGAAATATGGCTGAGACTAAGATGTAGCCAGGGCGAGGCCATTGAAAGTCAGTTTACTCTAAGAGGATACAGGTGGGAGCTTTTTCATCTTGGGGCTCTGATTTTTTATTTTTGCCTGATGCTGATTTACTTATTGCTGATCTTAATTTAAATCATTCGTATTTTCTTCGTTATCTTATTAATCAAGGATCGGTGATGGACTTTTGGCCTTCTTTCTCTTTTAATGAGTCTCTTTTAGTTATTTCCCGAAAGGTCCGTTTACACTTCCTCTCTTGGTAGTATGATGGTTTTAAAGTGTCTGGAATTACTCCTTAAAAAGATTAGTCTCATAAATAGATTTCATGAGTAAACTTCTGTCCTTGGAGGTATTTTTTGCTGATTAAATAGGGAGTCCTGAACTTAGGATTTTTGCAGCACCCTCCTTTTTAAATATAGATTTAAAATCAGCATATGAGTTAGATTATAGCAAAGTCTTTCCTTCTTTAGTCAGTTATTGTTTTTAATCTCCGCTTTTATCAATACTTTGCAAAGTGTTGAGGTTATGAGCACTGTTTTAAGTCTTAAGAATCAAATTTTGATGCACACTTTAAGATTTATTCATCAATCTATTAAATGTATTCTACTATTAGCCTCCCTCGTTAGTTCTAGTTAGACTTTAAGAATTTGGATTGTTGTGATATAGAGTGCTAAACTTAATTGATTTTTAGTTTTGAGTTGGCATTAAAGGAGGCATCTTTTTTTCGATAGCATTAAGACGGTGGGATGTTTATTAGTCTTGCTTTTTCTGATTCTCAATAGCCTTTTCAATACTCTGCTTATACTAGGTATTAATCCTCTTTTCTGTTTAGGCTATCTTAGGGAGTTGTGACTTCATTTTGCTGTCATCAGCTGGAAGGGAGTTATGAGATTTAGTCATTATTGGTGGAACACTAGCACTATTAAGTTGCCTGCTATGTCCACCGTTACTCATTGATTCAATAGCATCATTAATATCTTATATTTCAGCTACCCTTGGGCTGTTCTGCTCTTCATCCTCACCAACTTCATTGATTTGATTTTCATTTTCATCATGATTATTGGTGTGTTTTTGAGTATCTGTTTCCATTTTTGAAGGAGATCTTAATTCATGTGCGTTATGTTGGCCATGCTTTTTATTTTTCGGATCTTTGTGGTTTGATCTAAATTTTCCTTTTTTATGATCTCCACCTGGAGTTTAACTTCTGGAACCTAGATTGTCTCTCTAAGCCTTAGCCTGTTCTTCTAGCTATTTTTATTACTCTTTTTCCTTAAGCCTCTAATTATTTACTATAAATTGCAATAAATATTTACCTTTAATGCTCTTGACTCATTATGAAGATATCTGGGCTTTTTGCTTCTGAATACTTCATTATAAACCTCTATTCTTTCCTTTAACTCAGCCAGTTTGAAGAAAAAGTCAGTGTGCTTCTGCTTCTAATTTCTTAATTCAATTGCTGCCTACACATTCTCATCATCATGCACTATTCTCATCTTGCTAGCTTTAGCATTTTTGTAGTCATCATCATCTTCGTAGAGATCTTTACCATAATCAGCTGTAGTTGACGCAAATAAGTTCTTATTGGAATTTATTCTTGGAGAATGAGATCCATTCTTCTCTTCATCATCATCCTCTTTGTGATATGTTTTTCTATCGAATAGATTCCTCACATCATCACTTGGCTTTTATTTTTCTGAATAATATTCAACTTATATCAAACTTACTCAATCTGATTACAGAGGCAACTCCACCTTGCATTTTTATTTAAGCTTAAGCGTATTTGTAATTAATTTTATAATTTCTTAAAAATACAATATCATCGAATCATGGGGTTTTGGGGTTTTGGGGTTTTGGGG